ACTTTCTTCACTTATAAAGTACTACTTTTTTTACTATGTTTTTAGGACATTATGAACAAACATTATGAATCGTCCAAAATTTTGTCAAATATTTACCGTGACATTCAAACAAACAGAAAACAAATATCAAATCAACATAATAATGCCATCCTACTGTTAATTACTCTTCTTATTACAATACAATGACTGAAATGTTCTTTCAGACTAAAATATGACACAAAAACACTCACATTAACGCTTCAGGATGATGAGGATTGTAGCTCAATGCCCGTGAATATAACTCTTCCGCTTCGACCACATTTTTCCGTCCCATTTCAACCACTAAACCATATTCGGTTAGGATATCTGGATGATGAGGAGCCAGCGCAAGCGCATGCTGAATAATGAGTTCTGCCTAAAAAGTAATTAACATTTACAAAGTCACATTTTCTAGAAATATCAATCACTGACAATCTAAACTTTTTTAACCCTTAGCAACAAAGCACGCATTCAGTATTGCCTCTTGAAAGTGGTGTTTTATGTTCAAGTTCAATTCCTATCTTTCATCAAATATCTTTAAACTATCACAAGGTTAAGCTATAGATAACAGAATTTTTGAGTTATACCTTTTCCATATTTCCTTGTGTTCTCGATTGAATCGCAGCTTTTAAAGCTGCAAATGCTTCCTTCTCAGTTTCCCAACCCCATTGAATAACATTTGCTTGGATTGTACCAGCAACCGCTCTTTCAACCTCTTCAAAATACCGCGGCTCCACAGATAAAGGGTCAACAAAATAACCTAATTCGGTTGTGCTGAAAAATAATGCAAATAATGTTTCGAGATTCTGTAAAATTAAGCACTTCAAATTCTTTGCAATTATTTCAGCTGTATTAAACTTCCTGGCAAACATAAAAATACTACTAACCCGACATAACGTTTACGGGAAAAATGAGCTGAACAATAATCAGCTTGTTTGATAAACTCGGGTGAAAATTGCAAATTACAAATTAAATACTGCGAAATCACAATTCGTTGCACCAGAATCGGTAATGTCTAAAAATAACTCCGATATCTTGCTCTATAAAATTCTCATTAAAAGTCTTAGCTTATGTCCGAATATCTAAGACTCTTTGCACAAATTATAATCAACATTCTAGCGTTATGTCGCCATGAATTAATGGTTAAAAGCGTCACTTAACGTACCTGTATACAAATTGATACAACAATAGACAAAGCCACAACTCGCACCCAAGGTTTTGAAAAAACGTTGGTACCAGACGACATTTCACTCACTACTAGCGTTTACAGGTTGAGCACGTGTAATGATAATTCTTCACTTCACTATCCATTATTAAACAACAGTAAGATAAAGGAACAAAACTAAATGTGATCAAAAAGATAGAGAAAGGAAAGAAAAGAAGAAGAAAGAAAAAGTATGAACGATTCAATGAAAAATACATTTCGACCAACCAATCAGTTCTTCCTTTTCATATATTGTTTTAGAAATTGTCAAAGAGTTGAAGTGTATTACATAGAAATTCTTAGCATTAAAATTTTTACACTAACTGAGTCTTGTTTATTAAACAATGTAAGAGAGAACTAAGCGCCAAATTTTTGAAAGAACGGTGAACAAGTCACAGTGCATTGTCCTTTTTATCTTTTTTTAAAAATTAGTTAAAAGACTAACTAATCGTATTTTGCTTCTTTTTTTTACTTATCAAGCAAAGTGACTTGCCAAAATTACAAAAAAAATAAACACTGTAACTTGGCTTACCTTACTGTAAGAGATATGATTATAGTGCAAAATTGTAAACACTCGAAGAAACAACCATTTGATAGTATCCTCGAAATATCCATTTTTTTTTTTCTAAAGGAATTAAAATTAATTTTGATGATTCACACTTTATGTCTTACGGTAATATTTTCTGAGGGAATTACTTGGCCATTTCTTAACGAAACATGCAAAATGCAAACTGCAAACAATGCAGGCTTTGGCTTAATTAAACTTTTGTGTCTAATTGTCTATGACCTCCTCTAATTGTGAAGTACTCTTTCACAAACTGCTTACAGTATTGCAAAACGACATGTCATTTCAATTGGGTTGGGGTTTGCTTAGCTAACAGAGTCCGCCGTCCGTATCGCTCCCATTCGTAACAAAGTGTTCGAGGGAGGGACGGGGCTAACATAATCACTCAAATGAGTATTGGGACGGGAGCCTGAAATACTTGTGCGTGTTCATTCGGTGTACGCAACCCGTACATAACTATCTGCGAATGTTAAGTGTACATATACGTGACTGCTTGTGAATGTATGGACGTTTTTGCGCACGTGACTGTTTGTGAATAACGTGTACTTCAACACATTATGCGCAGCATAGCACAGCCACAGAACTCGTTTACATGAGAGCAGAAGCAGCGATTTGTTTAGAGGACAGATTATTGAGAGGTGAAATAGAAAGAGGGAATGGCGATGATAGTGAAATGAAATGGGAATAATACATCCTCAGTAGACTTAACTACAAACTGGTAGTACAGACACATACATAGATGACATACGTGCAAATATATGCACGTGCATAGCGATAACTGTTCCAAGCAGCGAGAATGTCACCATAAGGTTTTGCGTTGTTTATAGAATTTGTCTTTTATTGTGACTTCTTTGTATAGGTGTGTATGTAGAGATAGGTATATATGTTTGTGTGTGTTCATATGTATATGTGTGTTTGTATCAATGTAAAGAGGAAGAACTAATGGAATGATCTGCAGGACGGAATAAACGTTGGTAATTAGATACGGATCTGAGAGGACGGGAACTGGAGGAAAGGGTTGCATACCGCGGAGAGAGCGGAAGTACTGGAAGAGATGGCATTTAGCGGATATATACCAACATTCAAGGAACGACACTCGTTTGGTACGTCTTTTGTTTCATGTCTTTCTGACATGAAACATTGTTTCTTTTTAATGAGTGATATGAATTGCTTGAAAGATGACGTTGTGATGATTTCGTTCATTAAGCACTGATAAATATCACTAATCATAAGATTAGTTTCTTTCTTTTAAGCCCAATGTTTTGTTTATTTATATCCAAAAAAGTCCGTGTCTCCATATTGCTACCAATGTAAGAGTTAGTGTTATCTCTTCTGATCAACAGTTATAAATGCTGTAAGATATCTCATAATATTTTGGGACTTTTGTCACAATTTCTGTTGTTTATGAAACATTGGTTAACAACATAAATGGGATAGCTTTGATGTGAGAATACATGAAATGTTTGAACGAGAAAGCATTGCAGTTATTTTCTCAGTTTGTTTGTAATACATACATTTCCGCCTATACTGAAAGGATGGATTGGAAAGTAATGAATATGAATAGCACTAAAATTTTTTTTTTTCCGAAACAGGTTGGGTAATTTATCATTCGCACATTGTGCATTTCCCTCCTATTCCGTTTACATTCCTTTCTATTCTGGAAGTACTTTTTATTCGAGTTAGGTGATGCCCGTTATCGAATAGTTTCGTTGAAATACACCGGATGAGAAAGGAAAAAGGAGAGGATGGAACTAGGGAAGAAGAAGAAAACACGAGGATATTGTATGTGGTTGATAATGTGAAGTTTTGTGCTATTTTTTTCTAGTGCAGCTTCTTTTTGCAACGTTTTTCTTTTTTTACCGTTTGCAAAGTGAAAATTATGCGCTTTTCTAGTTAATTTTCAACATGTTTAATAGTGTAGTGAGAATAGTGAGATTACGTGACAAGCACTTCCTTGCTGTTTTTGCAACGGATATTACCGAGAATGGAAAGAAAACAATTGATAGTCGAGATAAAATATGAAGAATAGGGCGTTGAGATGACTTCAATTTACATATTTGATTAATGGGAATAGAACCATTGGCATGTGAATATTGTGCGAATGAATGATACCAAATTGTCGGTTTGATATTTGTTTTTATTTTGAAAAACAAAAATATCTGTATTCCATTAGTTATCCAATCTGACAATCGTTGCTGGAAATGGATGACCGTTTAAGGTGTTATTTCATTGCCTTCTTCATTTAAACGTAAAATCCACCAAAAAGGCATCAAAAAACTTTTTCTCTTAAAGCAGTAAAATTTGGTAATTTTCAAAAAGTTTGAAATTAGCAAGAATGCATCTGTTGCCCTTTTAAATTTATTTGATGCACTGTTAGGATAGCAAAGTAAGCTTATAAATTTTGGGTTAATTATCTGAAATTTCTAAATTAATATGACATAAAGTAGTCACTGAGCAAAAGTCGAACTGTTTCTTACAATTTCAGCAGCACGTGCAAAAGATGCAGCAGAAGCACGACAACAGCAACCGAATAAGATTCCTGTTGTGATCGAGAGATTTGAAGGAGAGAAGTACTTGCCATTGTTGGATCGGTGCAAATTTCTTGTGCCAGATCATATAACAGTTGCCGGATTGATGCAAATTGTGCGAAGGTTTGTCGTTTTACAATTTATTACTTTTTATTATGTACAGTTTTGTTCTTTTTTCTGCTGTTGATTCGATGCTGAAAATTCATATCTGCAGAAATAAATCACAAGCATTAATAAAGTATGACTGGATAAGTTTTATGTTCATTTGCTTTTTTTTTTTCTCAGTCCCTGTGAGTTCCGTCGATATAGGCTCTTCTTGCATTATTATTTTTTTTTTTTTTTTTTTTTTGATGCCTACTTTTTGTTATGAAGAACAAAGAAAGAATGAACTTCTCAGTACTCTAGAATGCATATCATAATTTACTGAAATGTGAAATGAAACATAGTGCTTATAAATTGTTTTGTGAATGTTTTTTTTTTTTTTTTTTTAACTCGAAATAGATTGAAAATCTTTTGAGGCGACTACAGCTTCATCCGGATCAAACTTTCTTCCTCCTGGTCAATGAGAAATCGATGGTTTCAAACAGTATGAATATGCATCAACTCTACCAGCAGGAAGCAGACCAGGATGGCTTTCTATACATGGTTTACACCAGCCAACCAGCGTTTGGTAGCATCAAATGAATTAAATATCTACGTGTTCGTTACCTCTGCAAAATTTTTGAAATTTTCTTCCATTTATTTCTGCTCTGATACTCAACAAGATTTAATACGTTTGTACACAAAATACAGTCCTGTACAAAAAAAGAAAAAAACACTCAATAAAAATTTTATTATCATTCAGCATTATTATATAAATGCATGTTACTTTTTATTCCTAATTTTATTGTCTTTTGTAACATAATTCCCCTTTCTTTGTATTCGAAATTTGGCTTTTTTTGACTTCCTTACCATCGTGATGTATTGTTTTGCGTTAATTCATGAATTAAAGAATCACTGTATGAAATAATTCTTTTTCTTATTCTATAATGTGTTGTGGACATTATCAGTAAGCCAGAGGAATAGTTTTCTTGAACGAATTATTATTAGAACTTGAAACTTGTTTTAAAAATTACTCATTAAATGTTCACATTGAAAAATTCTTTTTATAATGCCTCTTATTTTTATGGTATGCTTTGGAAAAGAGAATTTTATATCTTACACTGAAGGTAAATGAGGTGATTGGGGTGTGCTAACGGATGCAAGAGAACAAGTGGTGAGCGAAAATTCTTTAACCAGTAGGATCCGACAGTTGTACACCTTATAAATTGGTAAAAGAATCGTAAAATTCCATTTAGTGATTTGTTGCTTCCGTATACTTCCGATTTGTCGCTTCCGTAAGCTGTTTTTTGACACTGTATGAGCTACTTTCGACAGTTGAACCTGTCTAGAATAGGACATACATTATTGTACATAAAAGATAGTTGTATTGAATATTTCACACACCGGAGTCATCTGTTCCTCCATATGAAAAGTAGGCGATGGCCAATACAACGTTATATCATTAAAAGCAAACAGTAATTTGAAACCATTGATTGCTGCCTTTTGTCTTGTTAAACGAGGGTTACTAGCTGTATAGGTTTCTCCAGGAGTGTTGTATGGGTTATATGATTTTTTTTTTTTTTTTTTTGCAGTATTTACGATCTATTTATCGTCAATACATTACTTTCAAAACATCTCAAATTTCCTAGGCTCTGTGATTTTTTATGTATGATCCATCTCAAAAGTCATTGATTTGATGAGAGAGATTTTTTAGATAGACACAGTGTTTGACAAAAAACACTCGAAAAGCAGTAATAATAATAATATTAATAATAACAATAATAATAATAATAATAATAATAATAATAATAATAATAATAATGACAACAATGATAATAATAATGACAATAATAATAATAATAATAATAATACGTAGTAATAATAGTAGCAATAGTAATGGAGAAGTACTGCAGCAGTGGCCATCGGTGACCAGTTTTGACATAATATTTAGTGAGGATAGTACATGTTTATTTATCTATTTGATCAAAAAGTGACCAAAGGCAACAGCAGCAGATCAGTCCGTTAATAGACTATCCATCGATAGAAGCTAAACGAGCACTACTCACTCCTACCTTTCCTTCCTCCTTTCCCTGTCTTTCAACCAAAATACAAATTTTACGGCAAGCAAGCCGTATTCAATTCATCATTACAGCTTTTTTAATCCACTCCTCATTATTATTCGAAGTTTTTGCCAACAAAAATTTCTAATTTGATCACTGATCCCTTGTTTTATTATTCAAAATAAATTGGTGGTGAAACTACCAATTGTTTCATTAGTATTGTTGATTAACAGTTATCATGCTCGGCATATTACTCTCTGTTTCTTTATTTTATCAATTACCTGACCTCTACACTGCATTACCAATGTTCACGAATGATTTTATGAGGAATTACGTTGAGGCTGACCGACAGAAAGTATTATTTGATGGTATGAGAATTTAGAAATTCAAAATGAAAAAAAAAAAAGAAAAATTAGAAATAAATGAAGTTATATTATTATATTAACTAAGAAAAACCTCTTGCAGAGAGAAGAGTCTAGAATTAAGACCATTATACAGATGAGATGTGTGGAAGATATAAGAATTTGAAAATGTTCGTGAATCAATTCTTTTATGATAGTTGCTAATCTCAATGGATCTTAATTAGATATGAAGTAGAATTTGATTTCTTCATTCATAATTATCTTACTGAAATTTGCACTGATGATCGTAAAACTTCAGATTTGGGACAAAAATACTTACAACCACAGGATTTTGCTCTCGCCAAGATCACTCCTGGTATGTTCCTGTTAAATAAATTTCAGCTAAAAAAATAACAATTACTTTTCAAAACTTAAAAAAAAAAGGTTTATTATTTATTATTTCTTTTGAACTATTTACCAATCTTTACCTAATTCTTTCGCACTGCCTAATTTCTTTTGCTATATAAGATCAAATCAATTGCAACGTATATTGACCTTGCATCCATTTAATACTAAATAATCCGGTTGTGTAATTCTGTTGATATCTGCTGTAATTTTGATACAATTCAGTGTAACTTCGTAGAACAGATGAACCTTTGTGTAAATTTCTCACTCACAATCATAATTTCCTAGACTCATCCAACGTAAAGTATTTTTTGAGTTTTCATAACTCTTTTGAGTCTTTCTCTTGGCAAAAATGCAGTAGTGCATTTCATGAATTTAGCTTTTTTTTTTTTTTTTTAATTAGAAATTTGTCTCGTTGAATTAAAAATTCACTCATGACTTACCTGTCTGTAGCAGACTAAATACAACAACACTGTATCACTTATTTACTTTTATGAATTCCATAAATATGAGTGAGTTAGTTGAATTCAACAATGTGCCGGACCAGAAACTAGTTTATTCTTGTTTTGTGTATGAAATTTTAATCAAATTTCGAAAAGAGAAAAAAATTTCAGTGGAGAATGTCAACGAGGAACAGTTAAGTTCCATTATCAATTCGCAACTTTTTGAGGGTGACATTTTGGGAGTCGATCTGCCGACAGCAATATCAACGTTGATTTTGAAAGATGAATTATTGGATCAATATGATCATCTATTCAAACTCCCTGTATGTTTTTTTCTTATCTATGAGTGATTTGATAATTTTTGATAATAGAATTCTATTTGAAGCTTACTTTTGTAGTATCATAGCGCATTAAATTTGGACACATACAAAGGTAGGATATGGCCAAATGGACAAGTACCATATTTGTTGGAAGATGGAATGTCTGAAAAGTGAGTTTTTTTTTTCGAGAAACAAATGTTACCAGTTTTAAATTATGAACTACATATAAAACCGTGCAAATATGAATTGTATTTTTTTTTTAAATGATGTATTTCGAAGCTATGCAGAGGTTTATAGAATATATTAAATCTTTTTCATAACCAGAAAACTCTCTCTCTTGTTTTATTCCTTCATTTGTGTATCAAATACCATTGGCCAATACAAGACTTTGTCTAGTTTATCCATCTGTTTATTTAATTATTGAAAGGAAAGTAGATGAACGGAATAAATTTGCAGGCAAAGAGTAACTATTGCACAAGCATTCGATGAATTCAGAGAAAAAACTTGCATAAAATTTATACCAAAAACTGATAATGATATCGATTATATTATTATCCAAAGAAATAAAAAAGATGGGTTGGTTGTTCCCATCATTTTTTCATCAAATACCATTGATTAATATATGATCTTGTTTATTTTATTCTTATTTAAATTATTGGTTTTATTTGAAATATGAACAAATCTTTAGAAATATTCGATTAGACATTTGATTCATCCTTAACGAGAATTACCATTACCTTCTGCATGTATTAGTATATCAGTTGTGAATGAAAGTTTAATCTTCTTAATACTAGAAAATAATTTAGCTGTTCGTCACATGTTGGACGAGCTGGTGGCAATCAGACGGTATCCTTAGAAGTTGATAAATGTTTTAAAAAAGGAATCATTGCCCATGAGTTAATGCACGTAATTGGATTCCTTCACGAGCATTCACGTTCGGATCGCGATGCATATATAGATATTATTGTGGAAAACATTCATCCCGGTACTCAGTAAACTTAAGCTTGGGTCTCTCTCCCTTTTTCTTTCTTTCTCCATGATAAACTGAATATTCTGGAGGAAATAATCAAGGCAAACCTATTTTAAATTTCATTTTTTAGTTTAAAAAGAATCGGATGTAAAATTTACAGTCTTCTCTCAACATAATTTCCTTAACCGAACAAGCTTGTATTTTGGAAACAATTAAAAAATCTTTACTGAATTCTAGGGATGCTACGGAATTTTGAAAAATATCCAGAAAAAGTTGTTGATCTGTTGGGGTTGCCTTATGATTATGGTTCGATAATGCACTACCACAAACTTGCATTTTCTAAGAATGGCCAATCAACTATTCTACCTAAAGTAAGTAATTCATTTTTCTATGCTAGGAAGCTCATCATAATATGAGGATAATAATAATGGTCGGCCAAATTTGAAGTAAAACACATACATTTTAAGAAGTAGGCTGAAAAAGTGTTACTATCTGTTAATTGTCTAAGACCGAACATTTTGAAATATTCTAAAGATGAAATTACATAAGAAAGTTAATAATTAACACTGTTGAATGCTTTTAAATACTTAAACAAATGTTACACCAATATACAGTTTTGTCATTATCGAAATCAGTCAAACTAAATGACCCAATCATACTTTTTATATCCAAAATGTTTCCTAAAGGAAATGCAAAAAAAAGAACGATTACAGAAGCGAATTTCTAATCAAATTAACTTACTTATTCCTTCACCGAGCGTTGTATGCCAAAAATTTAGAATCAAACTGCGAAAATTGGACAGCGACATGAGCTTAGCCCCATCGATGTCGCAAAGATAAACAAGCTTTATAACTGCAATCCACTACCAGCGACAGTAACGACATCACTACCACCAACAGGAACTCTAGTGACATTAACAACATTACTGCCACCAACAACAACAGCTTCTGCTACTTTAATAACCAATGAAACAATCATAACATTATCTCTCAAAAGTAACTGGTCGAGAAACATAATAACACTATTTCCATTTCGCTCATTTCGGACAAAAAGACCAGTAATCACTGAAAAACTTCGAGCTATTAATACTACCGTAAAAGCAAAAACAACGGTAGTGACAGGTATTTAAACCAGATCCCAAGTTGATACAAACTCAAACTTTCAACAGTTCATTTCAGCATACTTTTGATGTATTTTATTGAGTATCACAAAAAGTATATATTTTATTAATTTAAAAAGACTTATTGAATATTTTATAGAAAAAGTGTTTTTTATTTTATAAAAAAAGTACTTTTTTATTGAGCACTATATAAAACTTGATAGATTTATTAAAATTATTCCCCTGGTCGTTTAGATATAATAAGATTAACAAAATAATTATTGATTGTAATCATTAAAATATCTTTGTAACCAAACTTTTTCATGTCAACTCCATCGAGTTCTCTTCGATGTATGCAATTTTTGTCTTTAGTTTTTAACCTCATTTCCTTTTGCTCTCTTGGCTTAACATAACAAGAAGCATCCTTCATGTTCTTCAGCACTGATTTTTTAAACTGCAGTTTGCGAGGATCTGAATGCACACTGTGAAATGTGGCAACAACTCGGCCATTGCCAATATTCGCCGAAGTATATGGGTCACTACTGCAAAAAAGCATGCGGACTCTGTCCACTGAAAACAAGTAGCATTAAATTTTAGATTCAAGAAAAAATATTAAATAATAAAGAGCAATGCTAATTAACAATACTAAAACATTTCAGTCAAAATTGACTTTCTTAAGTGAAATCCTTTTCAAAACAAGAAAAAAGTGATGTCCAACAATCAATTAATTAGTATTTCAGATAAAAAAAAGTTAAATTGGAAAATCGAATCATCACGATGTGTGGATAAGAATTTATTCTGCAGTTATTGGGCAAGCATCGGAGAATGCAATACAGGAAGTAAATTTATGACGATATTCTGCAAACGATCATGTAATAACTGTGGCAATAAAGTGGGAAATGCTGTCCACGAATAAATGAAATCCAACATCCGGATTAGGTCGTGCAGTATTTCTATTACTTTAATCTATGTACTTCCTAAAACGGGTCTGTTGAATGTATTTGTGAAACTTACTACCGTATAATATATTCATGACAATAACTTATTAATAATATTAAAAATAAACGAGTTTTTTTGTTACATGATGTAGAAATAGAAATAAAAAATATCACTCATGAAGTCTTTCCGGAAGTTTCTTATGTTGCTGATTATATCATTGTTAACGCAATATCAAACCAACAAATAAAGCCTGATTCTTAGCTTGTTTAAAGCTTTCGAAAATTAAAATTATCCTATTTTCCGTATCATTTAAGTATAATCAATGCTTATCGAAAGTGAAAAACAGCAATTTTATTTGAATAATTTTCTCTAACCTAGCAAAAAGTTATAAAGAAATGGATAAAAAAGAGAGGAGGAAAAAATAGAAGATAGTTTGAGAGCGAGCATTCAAATAGCGACTTAATATGTAATCAAATTAATGTATTAAATTAATTAATCAAAATAAACTCTTAATTACTAGCATTCAATATATCAAAACTATATTATACATTATTAAAACACTTATTTGCTTCCACTATAATAACTAATAACACTGGTAACACCAATTATTTCTGTGGTGAGAAAATTCCTGTTAAATAAATTTGCATGACATTAAACAGTAAATCGGAAATGAAAATACGACAAAAGCTGATAAAACGTTCACATTTCATCAATGCAATAAGTAGTTGGTCGGCGTGTGGATGGGCGCGAATGCGGGATGTTAACTAGGGGCGCTTGTAAATATGAACGGGGCTGGGGAGAATTAGAGAGCAGCGTGAAATAGTGTGGCGTTTAAAAGAGAAGTAAGAGAATGATGAGGAAAATAATATACAGTTTTTTTGGTGCCTGGGAATATTAAAAAAAAAGTAGCGAAAAATGATGCGGTGAATGAAAAATAAATGTAAATTGTATATTAATTAGTGTTGGCTAGTATATTTATGTATTAATTAATCGTAATTAGTATATATGCAAACTTAACGAGTATATATATAATAATTTTTCAAACTTTTTCTCAAAATATTTTATTGTTGAGAATATGGTTAGCCGAATTTATTTTAATGAGACTAGTGTAGAAAAAAAATGGATAAAGAATGAGAATGAGGAAGAGCAAATCGCATTTTATTATTCTGTTCATTGCATAACTTTATCTTACCAATGATTTTTTAGAATTCATTATTACTACTTAATATGAGATATAACGTAATATATTAGCATGAATGAGAATTAAGTTTGAAGAAATTAAAAATAAATGAGTAAAACTTACAGTCACGTGTTTCAACATGTTATACAAACTGTCTTGATTTCATACTGAAACGCTACGAAATGTTACTAAGTGTTGAAAATACGAATTCACTTTATACAAAATTAAGTTAAATGTAAAAGAACAAAAAAAAAAAAAAGGAAAGAAGAACGAAGCTGAAATATGCTACAACGGAGGAAAAAAAAAGAGAGGGAGGGAGAGAGAGAGAGATCCGATTAAAACATTACGTAGTAGTATTTAATGTTTTAAAGCATTTAAATAACATTAGGTAACATTACGTAGTATTAAGCCAAAATGATATTTTGTAATGTTTAGTCGATAGTTAATAGAATTATTTACAAAGTGTCAACAGAGATGTTCGCTTTCTGTGTGTACATATTAGTATTATAAAAACTTAACAATTTGTTACTTTTAGGACTGCTAACAAACTTGGATTCAGTGCTGTCAGTGTCTCATTTATACGCATTTCTTTCAACAAGCATAAGCAATGAACTCAAATTCTAATAATCCGTAATTTTCCACTTGAAATTCTCACTACTCTTTATAAAATAGTCAGTAATATAATGCTATCAATATTAACCTCTTAATACGACTTACACTTTCAAATACATCTTTTCATGGCTGTAATTCCTCAAATGTGTTTATCATAAACTGTAAAATTTTTTTTGTTTATTTATTTCAGACTTTACTTATTATATAATTTGTCGTCATTAATTACATAATTTACAGATTTCAGTAATTAACATAGACGAATATTAATACAGAATATTTCAGATTATTGTTAATATTATGTTAATATCAAATAATATGTTCATTTTAGAAATGCCAATCAGAGAATGCCACCAATGATAGGCTGGAGGGTGGATAATTTCATAGTGGTATGGGATCCGTTTTTCCTGTATGAATCCCAGTGGTTGGTTTTATTTCGGTGAACTGGATGTTGATATAATAAAATGATTAAACTAATGTACAATATGGATGAAAGTGTGTGAGAAATGATTTCGTGCGTTGGAATAAGAACTGTTCAGTTATTCATTCATTCAATAGGTTGTATAATCTCTTATTATGGATTGATTATCAGTTATTTCAGGTAGATTGATTAGGATTCGTTTAGGATTATTTGTTCGTTAGAACGTGGCGTTTATTTAGCAGAAATATTTTTTTTTTTTTTTTGGTTTGTTCATGCGTTATATCTATAAAATGTGACATGTTCGTACGTTATATCTATAACGTGACGTTTGTTTAACAACAGTATTTGGCTTGTTCATGCGTTATATATATTGTCCTAGATCTCTTCGTTAAAACGTGACGTTTATTTAACAGCAGTATTTTTTGCTTTGTTCACACATTATATCTAGTAATCTATCCTACAAAGCCTCAACAATGCACAAACTACCTTAATATATATATGTATATGTAAGATCCCCAGTTTCGCTTTCTTTTCTGAATTAGGAATTTTTTTTTTTTTTCACGTGAAAGCAATGTGACTTATTGGTATTTGCTGACTTCGGCTAAAAAAACAAAGCGCCATTAAATAGTTTTCAAATTGCTAATTCATTGTTACCATAATATCTCTAAATCAGTTATACGATCCTAATTAGTTAATCAATGGCAAGTTATACTACTCTGAAATTTAATACGGATCGTTAATCCTATCCCAAGATATATTGATTAGAATATGAAATGAACTTCAACTGTTTGCTTTGCCTGAACTTTCTCCTAAATTCATTTTGATCATTTTGTATTAGATGTTACTTCTACATTAACGATGAGACTATTTTGTTTGAGCTAAACCTGCTTATGACTTATGACTCCATATGTCTGCGAAATGTGCACCAAAATGTATGCCTTAGAAATTTGTTTGTGAGAATTATTTGAAATTTTCGTAAAACCAATAAACAATCATTTTCAAACAACTTCTGAATAGAAAGATCCTAAAAGTTCATGCTCTTATTAAGTTCTTCGAGTTTTACTGAACCCACTTATTATAGAATAACATATTTAACTGGTATCAGAAAAAATAAATACATCGCTATCTTCAGCATACCTGTAGCGAGAGGACCGAATAATAGATTTATGCAGGCCAACAATTATAGAAATAAAGGTTTGTTTCTTTTTCTTTTTTTTTTTCTTTTTTTGCATTTAAATGATTTACAGTGCTGTTTACTTAATTTTGTATAGATCTTTTCATAGTGAAATTATATACTGAGAAAAAACTGATTTGTTGCTCTGACAATCTCATATAGCTATCTTTTTCTCATCTTTCTGTTGCTACTTTGATTCCGATTAATCTTTTTTATCTTATCTGCTATCTGTCTTATGTAAATGAAGATGATATCTATCACTCTCTATTAAGTTGATACTGCCCTAGCTGGTAACTGGATTTCAAATGTATTATGCATATTTCCATTTGCAGAAAATACTGATGACGAATGGATAGATATGGATTTGGTTATGGAAGAGGTACGAATCTTCAGAACGAAAAATTTTTGGTGTCCAAATCTGCGCTTCGAGGTTCATGGAACTTCACTTCCTTTGCTCGAGATTTGTTCTTTTATATTTGCTTTCTTATTGTACACATTTTTTTCTGTTATAATTGCTAGATTATACTGTAGGATACTGCATTCTTTGATTAGATCTAGCGCATTCAAATATTTCACATTATTTGTCAGGCGCTACATTTCCTGTTTTTTCAAATATTCAACATAATTATCTGATGGTAAGTCTACGGTAAATCGATCTCCATTCTCGGAAAGCACGTCAAACCGAGATATCAAACTTCTCTGCTTTTAGACATAAAAGTTTTTAGACAACTGAGAAAAATTTTTCTTGCAAAATAGCTTCTGATGAAAATACATACTATAGAAACTTTTTTTTCTTTTTTTTCAAATAAAAATCATATTTTTTTAGTACTCTACTTGTACACAAAACCACATGGATATTGGTGAGATTAAAAATGTTTCTAGTATAACAGTGGTCGTGTTTGATACGAGTGGTCTGCTTCGCGATACGGCTTTACTACCTCTTTGCATCGAGAGTACATTTTATTTCCTTATTTGAGCTTCTGTTATATTTTTAATTCTAGGAAAAACAAGTTGTATTGAATTCTTATTTATAGTCTATTACAGTTGTCTTAAATGTCTTATGAGACAATGCATTTATGACTTTGCAAGTATTCAATAAAATAAATGCTTATCACTTTACAATTTTATTGCAGAATTGTACCATGTACTCATTCCATATACAGTTCTGAAAGAGCTGGATGGGCTGAAGAGAACTGTAAGTTTCTCAAGTTATCGAACTGAAGCTAGTTAAAATAAAGTTCAATTATCCAAGATTACAAAGACTACATGTCTATCTTTACTATCATTATTCCTGTAAAGACATGAAAAGTGATCTGTAGTGCTGGACAATTTATTTCCATCCTATGGTATTATATTATAATTCAGACTATAGGAGTTGGACTACTATTAACTGGCCAACATTCCAAAAACTTTTAAGATTTGTACTTTATGAATTCCATCTTGCTCAATTGTTCCTATTACACTGTAATGACTCATCCAGTTCGGATCTTAAAGTCATTGAGTTTTTTGTTCAGTTTCATATTTCAAAAAAAAAGTTTTTTTTTTTTTTCAATAATTTTACAGGATTACGAAAAATTGCGAGTGAAAGTAATTAAAATACATAGAATGTTACATGAGTATTCAAAAAGTGGATGTGGTTATTTGCATATCGAAAATGTGTTTGAGGTATTTTTCAAATAAAAAAGTTTCAGTTTGAGTTGATTTGATCATTTCTCATTCTTAATGTAATTTTCATTGTTTTGGAAGTGAACGGATATTAGCACTTCATTTGATCAGGTTTTCCATTTACACACACTTTTTTTGAGGCTTCCTTCGGTGTAAAAGAATTTGGATGTCAAAACAATGATGATGTCATTCTGAAATGTGCATTTGTTACTACCATTAAATGTTTGTTACCTTTATTTTTCTCCATTTTTTCTTTATAATATAAATTCACTTCTTCATTAAGGTCCACTTTAATGCATTTATTTAATTTGATTTCGTTATCATTTTATTCTCAGAACTTTTTCATACAACTTCATCAGCTTCGTTTAGTTTCTTACTTTTTATGAGTCAACTCATTACGATGATCAAATTTCGACTATATTATTATTAAACATTACCATTTTTTCGTTAATTATTTTCGTGCAAAATGGACGGTGTGTTTGCTTGTCATTTTTTTTTTTCTCATTATTATAGAGATGAGTTTTTAGACAAGAACGGGAAGGTAATATTTGTTACAAATGATAGAAATCTTGCAATGAAAGCGGTGGCACATAATATTGTGGCAGTTGATCGAGCCGTATGTTTTGCTTATTATATAACTTGACTTTAAACAGTTCTTAGTCGTTTTTTTCGGTCACAGTGTTTTTAAAAAATAATATTTTATATATGTGTGCCATAGTTTATTACGTATATATTAAGATTATTTATTGTTTGTTTTGTTTGAAGAATTATTTGACTATTTAATATCTTCTCTAACAATGATACTATAGGGTTAAATATAGTTGAGGATCAGTCTTCTTTCAAATGATCTGCATTAATTGTATTTTCAGGAATTAATTAAATTTGTGATGGATGATATACTGAACGACAGAAAAATACTGTCGGCAGCAGAAAGCTCTGCACAACAAAAGCCACATAAAGTCCCATATACCGCACCTGTCAAACATTCCTATCCAAAAATAAGGGACAACGGACGCGTTGTGTCCAACGAGACTGCGCATTGCTCATCGCCAAGATTTGAACCAATGATATTCATCCGTCCACCTCCTATACGGCATATTTTTATGCAGAATAATCAATTTCCAGCCCCATTCCCAAACAGATTTCCCATACCTTCATGGAACGTACCTACACATCACTTTCTACAAATGTTTGCTCCATATTCATTTGAGATACTCCATGACATGGTAAGTAGTTTCAATTCATTTCAATATCGAATCTAATTAACTGATGTACGATAGATCATTCTAGTTTTATTGTAAATTTAGTCGTTACTTGTTTTAAATCAAATAGGCGATCTTTAATGAGTGGCAAACTTGAAATGAAGTGAGTAGCATTTCGATGCTTTCCCTTAATAATGATAAGAGATTGTATAAGCTGCAGAAACTTCATAGGTCTCTGAAAATAAATTCTGGAGAAATAATTTAATTGTTAGTTCCTTGTTTCCATTACAGACCATATTGCTCCCATCTACTAACAGCTAACAGGTTTGACTTTTTGTATTGACAGAATAGTCAGTTTGCTGTAATCATGTGGTTTGTCTGATCTTTCTGCAGTGTTCTCATTTTTAATTTTTCTTTTCTTTTTTATTCCTATTTTGGATAATTTTGTAATAAAATAGTGTGAACCTGCATTCAATACTGTGATTATGTAGCTTAATTTGCTCAGAAAGTTGTAGCGGAGGTTGTTTGAGATGAACTTTGTAATAGTTAGATCACAGTAATGAAATGAAATGAAATAGATGGATGATATAGATAAACTTTACACAATATTTTACTGATTACTTTTAATACAATGGCTTTTATCCAAATAAATGTATCCACATCAACTTTTCAGGTCAAACTGAAATATTTACACATGTTTCCTCAAAGTCGTAATGAATTAAAAGTAGGCATTAAATGTTTATATTTATTCTCTGACTTTATGGAAATCAGAATGTTTTAAACTTAGCTTAAACTGTTACGCAGTTTTTGTTAAACTCAGTTTATTAACTTTTAAGTAAATTGATTAGAAACCAGGCAAAAATATTAAAATTGAATTTATGATTTGTTCTTATTTCCTTAACATGTGTAGTTAAAATTGCGAATTCTTTCACTTTCGCTTTGGTGTATTGAGTTACTAGGAAAAACTCTTCTTTTTTCAGCAATGTCTGAGCAAAAATGGCTTTATTAATGGTTCCAATTTCGGAAAATAAAATGAACAAATATGAAATGGATATGCATACTCCACGAGAAAAATTTTAATAACTTCATTTTAACCTTGTATTTTTGTCTGGAATATTCTTAATTTTTGTTTGAAAGCTTTCTCTTATGATTTAATCGTTATTGCTGTTTAAAGTATCGGCCATGTATTATAATTGGCTTTTTGTTCAAATTTTGTGTTTAAAATTGATTAAATCAAATTCCCAATACCATATCGTAAGAGTTCATCATTTCCCACATATACTGTTGTTCCCCTATGTGTTCTCACGTTTACTTCTTCCATTCGTTATTTCCTTCTCTCTAGAGCTCTTCGTTTAAGAAGTTACGGTACTGAATTTGAAGTCATTTGAATCACTTGTTTCCTTATTTCTCTATAAACAGGTGATATATTCCATGTTGATCTCTTCACTTCCGGTTTTTAGTTGAAACATTTTGCTTTATAAATTGGCGTTCGTTTTCAGCCTCTGGTTTTCTTGGATTTACATCTGTAAATTTTACGAAGCGTCATGCTATCATTGAGACGGTTCAGCCATACAGTTCACAATATTTTTTAGATACCGATTTTTTAGGACCGACTGTCGATTGTGATCATAATCGATCGTAGTTCATTTGGGATTAGATTGTTACTAAAAATTTCTATCTAAAAACAATGCAAAATCAATTCCAGAAACATTTTCCCAAATATAAGTTAAATGAGCATGTAAAATTGACTGTTTATGGAAGTAAAATGCCCTACAAGCAATGCAAAAAATGTATAATTTGAAGGAAAGAGTATGTGTAGACTAAAAAGTCGATATAAAATACATTTTTCATTCTTGAAGATGCGTTTGAACAGTGACTTCAAAAGTGTTAGTCATGTTTTCTGGAAACTGTAAACGAAAACGGCATGGCCACATCACATCCGTTATCTATTTGCCTGCTTGCTTTAACTCTATATATTTTCTACAGAGGATATCTGTATTAATGAAACAACATTTTTCAAATCTTTTCTGTATCCTGTAGCAGGTGAATATATCATCAATTATCTCAAATCCAACTTTTCAAGATAGTAAAATTCAGCTTAACTAACTCATTATATAAAATGGTTCACATCTATCAAAAAATGAAATTAGCATATAAAAAATTTTTAGATATTTCAATCTCAAATATATAAAAAACACAGTTAATTTCAAATACTACCAATAGAATTACCTTTCTTATTTGATAATTTTAGCACTTTTTAATCGAAATCTTTCTGAGGGGACATTATTAAAAATTTTCGAAAATAGTATGCCTGAAGTTCCAAATAAAACGAAATAAAATCAAATAAATGTTCAAAGAAATCTTTATTCTACAATTTTGTGACAAGCATTATAATACACAGTAGACAAAATTCATTATGTATAATCCCAATATGGTGCTAAGAGATAATCCGATCAGTAGATATAAAGCAAATAATCCAAATTAGATCGTACTATGACGAGCTGTGATGCAGCGCATATGTCCATTGTATATATATACGTTCCCATCCACAATGAATAAAATATATCTTCTCATATCTAACATATAAAGAAGACTTAAACATAAAACATTTTTTTTTTTTTTGTTTTTTGTAAACTAATTTTGTTGTTATTCAGTTAATATCTGTTCATTTCTTTTTTACTCATACTTCAAAATTAAAATAAAATATTGATTACAGTTGTATTGACTTGTGTTATGCGATAGAATTTTGCTGAATATGATACATAGTATATTGTCATATCAAACTTATCATTTGAAAATTTTGAATAATCGACTATTAGATAATAACACATAATTTTTGTGCGCATTCGAAATTTTAGAACTGCTCAAATTGTGATCAATAGTGCTGATGCATTATAGATTTCATAGGTGAGAAACATTCTATAACTTTTGCAAAAAAAATTGCAAAATTTCATATGATACAGTTGGAACGAACAAATTTCCGTCCATATTACCGTGTATCTCGTTGGTGTGACATACGACATCCGGAATACGAAAAGCAGTAAAATTACAACGTGTACATTGGAATGGATGTCGATCGCCTACCTCAGTCATCCACGAAAGGTGCATCCATGCATGAAGTTCGAGAAATTTCTTTAATACCTTAAATGACCTAACAAATTATCATAATGACTGATCTAACAAAAAATTAACATAAAAGCAGATTCATGTATTCCATTGTTTTCCTAATAACATCAATTTAATAATACTTATTAATTTTAACCTACCTTTGAGTTGCAAATTGAGCAAGTAAGTTCCGGTTCAGTGACACTAATGCTACGTCCCTCAGAACCATAGAAACGGCGAGCAAGTGGCAACAAATAACGATTTGTTGTCAATGTGTCTACTGTAGTGACGTGTCGATACATTTCCATTCTATCTGCAAAAGATCTACAATAATAATAAAAACATTGAAAAAGAAGACAACAATTACAAATATCATCGTACTTTTGTAAATTTGTTGCAATCCCTTATTTTAATATACTTGATCTAATTAAAAAAAAATATAAAGAGATTGGGAAGAAGGATTACTTTAAAAGTATTCATAATTTTTTCAGATCTTTTAAAAAATCATTAATTTAAATTAATAATTTCATTTATACATCTAACATTTATATTACATACTAATGAAACATATACACTGTATGCTGAATAATGGAGCCTTTTACCTGTACTTTCGTTCGAAGTTGCGATCTTTTTACGCTTTAAGCTAGCATAATCTTCATTTTCGGTGAAACTCATATCTGAGTCGCATGATGAATCCGTTAAAATTCGCTTCTTCGAACTGATGTCACTTTCAAGTAGATGATTGGAATGATTAAGATGATTTCCACTTTCTTCTGATTCGCTTTTGCTGCTATCCGTAAATTCTTCAAAATTTCTAAATGGAAAGCGTTCACCCATCTGAAATAATTGATTTATCATTATTTTGATATTTTACGATTATATGTATTTCTATTCTATTCATAGTAAGTACAAAAAGGATATCGAACGATTGTCACAGTGACTCTCGAATAAATCAATTGATAGCCACTAAAAAAAACTAGAATTTAGAGAAATCTTTCACTTATAGTTTAGCTGAGTGGATATAAGTGCTAACGCTATTAATGCAGTCTATTTTTAAGCTTTTGCATCATTTTTTAATCATTTTTAATTCGTCGAATAACTCTTAACCATAATTTAGTTGAAATATGTAGCCTAAATGAGAATTCAGATGAAGGTACTGTAATATATGAGCTGATTAGCAAATTTAGTAAATGTTAACTTCAGTATTTAAAAAATTTTCACTCAACAAACTCTCTAATTAAATAAATGAAAATATAATCTAACAAAAACAAAAAACAAAAGTTATAAGCCTATAAAAAACGAGAAATAAAAGCTAACCCTATATGGACATATATATCTAAATAGATTAAAACATACGCTTCCTTACACTTACGCTAATTGCTTCCTTAAAATTTATTCCTTTCGAAAATATCGAGCAAATCACGTAACCAACCGCTCCGTAACTGATCGAAATACACAAGCTAAATATTTTTGGATATAGTCATCTTTAATACGACAATCTCATACGCAAGAAAATTCAAATTACATTACACGTCAAAGATATAGCACTGATTTATTGATTTCTCATTCCCTCAACAAGAAGCTCGCTGTCTCATTTTAGGATTGCGATTGTAGTCTGTTAACGTCCACTGTAGCCGATCAACTAAGCAGTGCACGTATGTTACTACGTTGGCCTTATCAAATTTGTGATAAGTTGAGGAGTATACATATTCATATCTGTGAACTGTTTATCTTCAAAGCTGAAAATACTGTTGCTTGATTAATTACCGCGAAAAAAAGACAACCAATCGGCTGTCACCCACATGAGCATAAGTGTTTCTCTTCTCTTTTTATTTCTCTTTCCATTGTCTTTGATGCTGTTCGGTTCCTAAAAGGAATTTAGAAAAGTAACATTTCTTCTGACATGTTATCAGTCATTTGCTTATTGTCCAACTTATTATATCCATATTGTCCAACTTCTTATATCCATATTTTTTGTCTAATAAAATGGCTTATACATAAGTCATCTTTATCAATTTGGTTATCTAATAAAGATGAGATCTCGCTAACAGCGGACGTCATGAATCATCGAATTGCATCCAACAAGATTTAGGAGAGCACAAAATGGATTTCTAGGACGATGATGTGCCTATGTTGAGGGGGCGGTTGTAGAATTTTTCTAAACTAGCAAGGGGAGAAAAAGAGGAATAGTGTGGGGAAACACAGCGAGAAACGCCTTTATTACACCAGGACATTAGGATGTGATAACAGTAATGAGGAGAACCAGAAATTTTGAGTCAGAATAAATCTGGAATTTCACATGTGCAATGATGAAATACTTTACATGTACAATAAGTAAGTGGGAAAGTTTTCAATTTCTAGGTAAAGTCGCGATATCTCCAAAATTTGTTTTAGATTATTCCATTTTTTTCGACGATATTATAAACGTTCGTGTCATTTTGGTGAATTGAAAGTATTTGATATGGAGAACGACTGTGTTATAATCTACGAAAGTGAACAAAGAAATGATTCATCTATTCAAGTAATTAAAATGTTCACATTATCTCCTATATCTTGTGTTGAAAATAAGTTGTACATTGCAAGGAATAGTTCAGCACACCTAATCACCTTTTTAGTAAATGATATGAGTGTTCAATTCAGTTCACATTTACTGCATTAGAAATCATACATAGAAGAAACAGCTATACAGTTTGGATGACTTGAGAAATTGGAAGCTTTTACAGTTCAAACAACTTTTTAATTTCTTAAATCGGTCCTGTCTTCCTTTTTTTTTCTTGGATGCTTTTCTTAACTAATTCAATTTTATATCAAATATCAAAATGGAGAAGGAAGAACTGAAGGAAGTTAATGAAGAACGGAAGGAAGAAACTGGCAGTAAAACGGAAGGGGAAGCTGACAATGACAGCGATGACTGCATCATTGTCTACGAAAACATTTAAGGCACATTCATTGTTATTCCTGACCCTTAGACTTTACTAATTTTCAAAAATGACTTTATTTTATTATGATGAAGCTCTACTGTACTTTCTACTGGTTTCTGTATACATTCTCATTTGAAAAGAAGGTTATCTTTATAGGCTTCTGTTGACAAAGGAAACAAAGTGCAAAAAAAGAATCTGCAAGAGAATGAAGCATATTTCAATCAGAGTTAGCATCATTCGTTAAAGTTATGAAGTGTATCATTTAATGTATATATCATAAAAAACTTTTCATGTCATAGAAGAAACAGTGCAACTTCTTTTGGGAATGTCATTCAGTAGATGATTTCTAAAAAGAAATGTAATAATGGTTCTCACTTTAATAATTTAGGACTAATTCCTCATATTATTAAATAAATTTTACTTAAAAAAATGTCCTGGGAATTATTCCGTTTTTTTTTTTTTTTTGCTTCCGATTTGATGAATCAGTGGTCATATAATTGGAAGAAATTAGCAATGAGAAGTGTTCGAAAATTGTCTTAATTTTCGCGAAGCACAGCCTTCTAAATAGATACTAAATCAGTGACAAAAAAAAATGCGTTTTTTTGCCGCATTGGTTTTGTTGTTGCTTTTGCCATTATTATTATTATTACTATTATTGTTGTCACTAGTAGCACTGTTATTATTTTATTATTATTGCCAGTGTTACTATATTATAGTTTTTATTTCTTGTTTCGTGTTTCGTTCGATTCAGAATTGGTTAACAAAAAAAAGAGCTAATTTCATTATGGAAGCAAATAAATTAGACGAAAAATTCATCCACATCATAAAAGTAAAACATGAAAAGAATCTAAAAAAAGATATATGAGTAAATTAAAACCCAGCAATACAACCTTCACTTCCAGTTCTAGAACTTCCATAACGAATTAAGTTGAATTTTAACCATTTCAATTTAAAATTACGTTGCAACAGTTTTGTAATTTCCATGTTCATGGGAATTTTCATTACTTGTTTAAACACATTTCTAATTCAATCTTTGGTAACAGAAGTGGATAAGCTGCGTTAAAAACAAAACGGCCTGTATTTCTGAAAGTTCCATGTAAGCCATAAAATCTCATATTGATCATTAAAGACCAAATAATTCAATAATTTAAACCTCCGCAATTGTAATCAGTCAAAGATGTGTTATGGCAGGTGTCGTTGCACGATATTTTCAAAACAGCATTCGCAACATCAAAGAATAGTCCTGTAAATTCTTTTGGTGTAAGACAAATGAAAATTTACCTAATTCTCCCATACAACTTTGTTTATTTGCTTAAAATGTTGAACTATTGATCTCTGCAGATGAATAAAAAAAATTCCTACCCAAATCTTTTTAGAGGGGAAATTCTAATTTAAAGATAGAAGCACATACATGGAGAAAAAGAAATTAGGTGATTTGACAGTACAAAGAGAACAAGAACATAAAACATGTTGCTACAAAAACCATTAATACAGAAATATCCGTGCTTTTTCATACTATTACCATATAATCACTGTTATTTGTATTTTAGTCCAAAATAAATAATTGGAAAAATTTTTTAAAAAAAGAATAAAGATAATTAAAGCACAGCATACAAAACAGGATCAAAATAATCGAAAGAAATGAAAGGTATCTGATCAAAAAAAATATCACATTTCTGCAAAATGACAAAAAAAAAATAAAAATGACAAAAAAGCACAGTTCTTGTGACTAATTAACTGAAGAAAGCATTTTATATTTTGGTTTGAAATAAAACAATTGTTGCGATTCTGCTTTATGCCTATTTACTAATGAAATTCAACTAAAAATACTAAATTAATGAACAAAGATGAAAATAGAAGTAGAAATAAAGTATTTATACGAACGAGGAAAAAAAGGAAGAAATGGAAAGAAATACAAAAGAATATAAATAAGTGCGATAATTACAGGTGAATAATAATATAACATGACATAACGTGGCTATACTCTCACGATTAACAGATACTTATATGCTACAAGAGAGACAAGAAGTAAAAACGATAGCGAGTGATGACATAAAATTTGAAGCTATTTTTGAAATCAGAAAATACTGGAAAACACTTGGAAGTAATTTAACAGTGATCTTACAAGCAAACAAATGAACAAATCAAAAAAATAAAAACTGTTCCAATTAACAAGGCAGAAAGGTTGAACAAAAATAATGAATGTGATCAATTGACAAACACAGAGACTGTGTTAGACGAGATCACATAATAATGCTTGAAATCCGAATAACATACAACTGATACATTGTAATGATGAAATGAAAACTATTGAATACATATAAATTTGATGAGAGGAATAAGAAAACTGTTTACAGACAACAACAGTACAAATAAATCAGAGAAACAAGCATAAAAAAAGTAATAATTCATTTTTATTTGTTTTTAAAAAACAAACTATTTAAGTTACATTAGAAACAGACTGATATTTAAGGAGGACATGAAGTAACTGATCCAGAGGATGAACACATGCCTTCTGACGAGCAGCTGTGGCAACAATACAGTGATGTTTGGTCGACTCGATTCACCGTTTGCCCAACGCAAACATAATGATACCATTGTGAACAACCTGCTTCACACTGAATCCAACGAATGTGATCACCTATGAACATTTTAGTGCAAAATTATAAAAAGAAACAAAACACGAGATACTTCATTAATTCTAATTCATAAACCACTTTTAAATTACTAGCTTGATTTAAGTCACTTTTTTACGAAATAATCCATGAAAAAAACCAAATTCAATGTTTCAAAACTGATCATAATTTAATGCTAAATATAATAGGAACATCACAGCGACTAACTGTAAGGTTTTAGACAAGTGGTAGCAGAGCAGACGTCTTGTTCTTGATGAAAATCATTCTTTGAACGTTTCCG